ACTCTGCGCGAGTGCACGCCGCGAACGCCTCCGCCAACGACTCGACTACGTGTCCTTTATGTAAAGCGTCGCACTTCATAAATCTGTGTCCATCGTTTATAAGCAAGAATGCGAGTCAGCGTCGAGAGCTCATTAAACAGCACAAAAGGTGTTTTAATTGCTTAAGTACCAAACACTCCGTGCAGGATTGCAAAAGTAAACATTCTTGTCGCGTATGTCATAAAAGGCATCACTCTCTGCTGCATACTGACTCGGATTCTGGCTTCAGTGCCACAGGCGCTGTTTCTAGCGACAGTTCGTCCTCAAAGGACAATGCGGCGATTAACTGCTCGTCGCCTCAGGCCTCTGACTCGAAATCGGAGGTCAACTCTCTTTTCGCGGCTGCGAAAAATCGTTTGCCGATTCTATTGGCGACAGCGTGGATCACGGCCCGCAGTTCGTCCGGCCGTACCGCCGTCGTCAGAGCGTTACTCGACCAAGGCTCCGAGATGACGTTCATCTCGGAGAACTTGGCGCAAACCTTGCGAGTCAAACGGATTCGCATGCCGATCTCGATTTCCGCCGTCGGCGGAATTAACGCCGGGACATTTCAAAACGCGACGCGCATATTCATTTCGCCGCGCGCGTCTCTCGTCCCGTCCCTCTCGACCACGGCGCTCATTCTCCCGTCCGTAACCTCCTACATTCCGAAACGCAACGCGGATATTTCGTCCATCTCATATCTCTCCGACTTACCGCTAGCCGACACGGATCCGACGAGTCGCGATCCAATCAGTCTCATTATTGGAGCGGATCTCTATAATGAGATTATTCTCGACGGCGTGCGTAAGGGGGGGATCGGGCAACCTATCGCGCAAAATTCTATATTCGGATGGGTCATCTCCGGGCCCTTCAGTTCAGTTGCGCTTCCTGAACAGTCCTCAGCGAAAGTTCCTCGAATCTCAACGCATCATATTTGCTCTCTCTCGCTGGAGAAAGAACTCCGCCGGTTCTGGGAAATTGAGGAGCTTCCGCAGCGATCCGCTCTTACACAAGAAGAGAAGGATTGCGAAGAGCATTTCCGCTCGACTCATTCTCGAAATTCGGAGGGACGATACGTCGTGCGTCTCCCATTTAAGAAAGGCCCTCCTATCGAAATCGGGGAGTCTCGGGTTCAAGCCGAGAAAATGTTAAATTCGCTAACTCGTCGACTTCGTGACAAACCGGAAGTTATGAAAGACTATCACAATTTTCTCGACGAGTACGAACGTTTCGGACACATGCGACCGTTATCTCCCGCGCAAGACAACGAACAAAGCGTCTATCTTCCACACCACGGGGTGATTCGGGAAGATAGCGTTACCACGCGTCTCCGCGTCGTGTTCAACGCGTCAAGCGTCACCTCTAACAATACCTCTCTCAACGACCACTTGCATATTGGTCCGAAAAAGCAAACCGATATTTCCGCAATAATTGCGCGGTGGCGCAGATACAAATACGTTTATTCGGCAGATATCGCAAAAATGTATCGCCAAATTCTCGTCGATTCTCGCGATATAAATTACCAAAGAATTTTATGGAGACGGTCTCCTCACGACGCAATAATTATTTTCCTGTTGCTAACCGTGACTTATGGCCAAGCCTGCGCGCTCTTTCTTGCCCTTGCCGTTCTCGAGCAGTTAACTATCGACGAGGGTAAACACTTTCCCCTCGCCATCCCGATTCTCAGAGAACATATTTACATCGACGATGCCGTATTCGGAGCTGACGACAAGCCTCATATTCGACAAATTCGAGATCAGTTAGTTGCCTTATTAAAACGCGGCGGGTTCGAGTTAAAGAAATGGGCAAGTAACTCCCCCTCTCTTCTAGACGATATTGACGTCGCGGATCATGGGCTAGCCGGTAAAAAGCCCTTCGCGCAAGACGAACAGCTCAAAATTCTCGGTATCGGGTGGAACCCTTCTAAAGATGTTTTCGAATATCGCGTCGCGCTTTCGGACAAAGTTCCCGATACCAAACGTACTATATTGTCCGCTGTCGCGAAACTTTACGATCCGTTGGGCTGGGCCACGCCTGTCACGATCGCCGCGAAAATCCTCATGCAAAGGCTCTGGCAACTTAATATCCAGTGGGATGAGCTTCTTTCCGAATCGGTTTTCGCGAGATGGAACGATATATATTCACGTTTATCAGCTCTCGGTCACGTGCAAATTCCTCGTTGGAACGGCCTCGGGCCTGATGCCGAACGCTCCGAAATACACGGTTTCGCGGACGCTTCGAATCATGCTTACGCCGCCGTTGTCTATATAAAAGTAGTGTTTTCGTCGGGCAAAGTCACGATATCGCTGCTTGTTGGTAAATCTAAGGTCGCTCCTTTGAAAACAATAAGCATACCTCGACTCGAATTATGTGCGGCCTTGCTTCTAGCGCGACTTATTGATTTTGTTCGAGCGTTAAACGGTTATCAAAATCTTCCGTATTATTGTTGGACGGATTCCAACATCGTGCTTGCTTGGATCGCTCAAGATCCTTCGCGCTGGAAGACGTTCGTCGCCAATCGCGTTACTCAAATTCAAGCTCTCGTTCCGCGTGCCTCATGGCGACACGTCTCAACTAACGATAATCCCGCGGATTGCGCGTCGCGCGGCATTTTCGGCGATGAAATTCTAAATCATGAACTATGGTGGTGTAACGAACCGCGAAAAATCTCCAAGCCGCATGTAAACGACACGACATACATATTGCTTGCAACACTGATACTGCTGTAAAATTACGCTTAGAGTAGGTTGCACGTATAGATACTGTATTTTGCGTAGAAATAGGAATTAGTAGATGCACGAATAATAATATTAATATTGTCACCGTTCAATGTTACACATGAATAAATGTATATATAATTTACGACTCATGACAGTATTGATATTATTATAATTCGTAGGTTTAAGTAAATCGCATGTTAATAATAGTGTTAAGTATTATCAGTATTGTTCTTAAAATTTATTACAGATTATTTAAAGCAACAGTGTAAAATATAACCGCAACAATATAAAGGAACGTGGAAATAATATTCGCATAATTAGATAAATTCGTCATCGATCAATCGATTCGTAGTATGGACCGACGCGCGACGCTCTCGATCAATAACACGGTGTACAGAGAGTTTCACGTGATAAATTCACGTACTCGCGTGATTACAATATTCCCTTTACCCCGGACGCCACCGACCAGGTAGTATAAATACGGGGCCTGCGAGACGGGCCAGGGAGATTTTCCTCAGATTCTCTCAGTTTCATTTCGATTTCGAGAGCACCGCGAGTCGAGAAGGGACTTAGTCGCGAGACCGTTGTCGTCCGAAGGGACTTAGCCGCGAGAGCCTTGCGAGCTCGAGTGACATAGCCGCGAGAGTGTACAGATCGTGGTGCCTTCTCACGCGTCGTGCTGCCGGATACTCTGTAATAAACGAAACGCCATCAGCATTAATAAATACTCATTCTACCAGACATAAAGATTTATCCTTCTTTTATCTTACACTGATTTCTACCGGATACCCGTTGATGCGCGCCTCTCTCAGGGCGTTCTCAACCGATCCTTCCGTCAATGCGCGCCTCTCTCAGGGCGTTCTCTAAATTCCTCTGTTCCTTCTTTGTTCCTATAACATATATTAATCTAAATCAGCGAAAATATATATATATATTAATTACGACTGCCTGCACGTTACCGTAAGGGTGCTTACACACACGCGTACTCGCAAGAACACACGCACACACACACGCTTGCATGCGATTGATGGAGGAAGGAAGTTGAACCAGTCACTATATACTTATATAACGTACTCGGAGGTCATCAAGTTACCAAGGTAGGTACATTTTTTCATCAATGGTGCGATCCAGACGATCGGGACGTGCTCATCAACTGAAAAAGCTACAACGAGCCTATTATTCCGGCGGCGATTTCGATCCGCGCGTGCTAAACACCGTTCCGCCACCGACAGTAAAAACTGATCCTCGCGTAGAATCACCGGTCGTTGCAAATCGGGAGCAATCGAGTGCCATGGTCCAAGAGCCACAGTTACCTAAGATAACGAAAATCGAGAAGTTAACGCAAAAAATCCGCCTGATACTTAGAGAAGTCAGTACCAACCCAGTCAAAAATTTAAGAAGAAATGTATATATATATATAGTAGACTTACCGTCTCTCCTCGTTCATGTGAGCCACTCACACAATATCGCGAAGGTTTCAATTCACTCTTTCTCACTGATTAACCCACTCCGACGTCCGAACGATCGTCTGGACGTAACAACTGGTGACAGCGGTGGGATAACAAAGCATCCCTGATGTGAAAATATCGCGGATGTTGCGACATCGCACTTAAAAATATTTCTTGAATTGCTTGATTTTCTTCGTGTGCCTTAAAAATATCATGTAAATAATATGTATATAATTATCTATCTATCTAACTATCTAAGTACGTAAATATCATAACGGTATATAAGTGTTATAACTATAATAAATAAGCCAATAAGGAAGTCTGCATATTGCTATGAAGCAAAATATCAGCAAGCAAAAACGAAAGAATAAATCGAAACACACCAAAGGTTTATTATGAAACTTGAAATTTGTTTTCATTGAATACACCCAATACATGGATACTATTAAGGCTCACGATTTATATAACATGCTATTGTTCTGTGTCGTTATTGCTGAATTGATATTTGATTTTGAAATATAATAATAAAAGGAATACTATATTTGCTTAAGTGATAATTTATGTGTATGTAGTTACGAGTCAATTTATTACCCTATACCCATCATTCTGATAACGAAACCTTTGATCATACTCAACTTTTGACAAAAAGAAAAAATATATTATCATTAAGTATTTCTATAATATTTAATAAGAATAAAAGGAAATAGTTAAATAGGAAGCAATATAACCATTATTGTCCAAAATGGATCATTCCGACGATCGCACAGCGGAATTTGCCGATGCTTCTAATGTGTTGCAACAGAAAGACGAAAGAAAAGTTGATTATGAGCAGGCTATTAAAGATGTAAAAGAAAAAGAAAGAGAACTTTCCCAGCGTACTGAAATGTTGGAAAATATGCTGCGAACCCTTACTAGCGCCTTATCCGGTGTTCGTATCACCGAGCCTACCTCCTCTACTCCTATAGTAGAACCGGCATCGGGAAATTTTCCGCCATCATTGAACTTCCAGTTTCCTGCTGGAAGCCTATCCGCGAGCCCACAACCCGGAATTAACAACTCCTCATTACCTTCTATGTTTCCGAAAGCTTACCTCCGAGAGGCACTCGAGTTAGTACCGAAATATGACGGCCATAACATTCCCGTTTGGCAATTTGCGCGAGCTTGTAAAAGAGCGAAAGAGTCCGTACCGCTGATTGATGAAGCTCTGTTCGTCAGAATGTTACGCAATAAATTGACTCATCATGCCTATTTGGCAGTCGAAGATGAAATGCACGCCACTGTCGACAAATTTATCGACGCTTTGAAGAGAGCTTTCGGGCTGGGAAGAAGTTCTATTTATTATCGTGGTCAACTCAGTATGGCATTTAAAAGACCTACTGAACACATACTGGATTATATCGGACGCATTAAGGATCTCCGAACAGCCATTGTAGAGGGTGATCAAACGAGTTTAAATCGTCCATTGCTCGAATCGGAAGTGGCTACTATAGATTCCTTCGCTCTTGAAGCCTTTTATGAAGGGCTTCCGCGCGATTATCGCCTCGAGCTTCGAACGGAAGGATATCGTAACCTCTCGGAAGCGTGCGCAAAGACCGTCGAGATCGGTAGAAGACTCGAGAGAGAAGAGGCTCGATACCGTAATACCCGAAGCGGTCGGGAAAATTCAGCCTCCGCGCCGCAAATTCGTACACTTCAACGCGAACCCGCTACCACCCCAGGTTCCACTACCGCCTCTGCAAGTAACGGATCTGAGAATACGGGTCGAAAGATTTGTAGCTACTGTAAAAACTTTGGCCACTTGATAAACGAGTGCCGGAAAAGGCAGTATCGCGAAAACAATTTCAACCATAATGTCAATAATAATAATAATAATAATCGAATGGGCCAGGATAATACTGTCGCACGGTACCCGGGAAACAATCCGGAGGTCTCAACAAACGGGACAGCTCGAGGCCTCGGGAATGCTCGTCCCGTTTATACTCTGGAGACGAACCCAGATCCGTCTACGTCCTCAGAGGCGATAACGGAAACGTACCCTCAGTCGAACTTCAATCCTCTTCCTTTCGCGGACCAACCGCCTTCATGTTAGATACCGGGGCGCAACCCAATATAATAAGAGAAGGTTCTATTAGAGACGGCATTGTTATCAACGCAAGGAAAATTATCCAACGCTCGGGAATTACAAAAAACGTGGTTAACACGCTTGGTACAATCATGGCTTACATTGCGGACGTACCCGTGATTTTCCACGTAGTGTCGGATGATTTTCCTATCGTTACGCAGGGAATATTAGGATCCCCATTCTTCACCGAACATAACGCTTGCATCGATTATGCAAACAACCAAGTCACCTGGCGAAATTCTACTTTCCCCTTCAAAGAAAGGGAAACAATTGTGGTACCTCCCTATACGAGCATGGGATTTATGATTCGCGTTTCCAACCCGGAAATAAAAACCGGCTATCTTCCTCGCCTACGCGCATGCGAAGGAGTCCACTGCGGAGACGCCGAAGTAACTTGTATTAACAATAAGGCCTACGTTCGCATCGCCAATACGTTAGACCACGAGGTAGAAATCAAAGTTCCTACAGTGACACTCACTGAAATAATTCAGAAAACAGTCAGCGATGACAGGCCGCCAAATTCTAAAGTCGAGTCACCTGATAAATCAGAGTTACTTACCAATTCGCTTTTCCAAGGGCATGAGCAGTGCCTCCCCTATGACGCGTCAAGGTGCGTCGTCGACCAAGGTCGACATCCCTGCATTAAATCCGCTGAATCTACTCAGTCGAATACGACTCACTCCCGTGAGGGATCTATAAATACTCCGGTGGATCCGAAGTGGAATCCTCCCCGCGCGCTTCACACACAGCCTCCCTCGGCGGAAAGGCTTCTCGAAAATTTTATACATAAGCAAACGGATAAATGCAAACTCACTCCTGTGCAACTTTTCGATATTAATAAAAACTCTGATAGATTATCTCATGTATTAAGACTTCTGCGACTCGATCACCTTAAATCTGACGAAAGGGACAGCATTATTAGAATAATCAGCGAGTATAGCGATCGATTCCATTTGCCACACGAATATCTAGGAGAAACGAATCTGACCACGCACAAAATAATTACCAAGGATGACATACCCGTATCCACTAAACAGTATCGGTTTCCTCCGATGCATCGAGAGGAGATAAGACGCCAAATCGACGATTTGATCGAGAAGGGAATAGTGAGGCCTTCTACTTCACCGTATAGCTCGCCGTTATGGATAGTACCGAAGAAACCTGATTCAATGGGTAGGAAAAGATGGCGTATGGTCAACGATTACCGCGATTTAAACGAAAAAACGGAAGGCGATGCTCATCCAATGCCTAACATAATTGACATAATTGATCAATGCGGTGGCGCGGTGTATTTTACGGTGATAGATCTTGCCAGCGGTTTTCAACAAATTCCCATGGATCCGGCCGACGCCCACAAAACCGCCTTCTCAACGCCAGACGGACATTTCGAGCATTCTCGCATGGCTTTTGGACTCAAGAATGGGCCTGCCACTTTTCAACGCATGATGAATACCGCTCTGCGGGGATTAGAAGGAGTATTCGGGTTTATCGACGACGTAATAGTGGTCGGTAAAACATTACGCGAACATAATGAAAGATTGGAAAAAGTCTTGGCTCGATTTAGAGCTGCAAATTTGAGCATACAGCCCGATAAGTGCGAATTTCTGCGTCATGAAGTAAATTATCTTGGACATGTGGTGGGCAAAGATGGAGTAAGGCCCGACCCACAAAAGATAGCAGCCGTTAAAAACTTTCCCAAACCGCGAAACTTGAAAAATGTTCGCCAGTTTCTCGGTTTAGCGGGATATTATCGCCGCTTCATACCCGAATTTTCGAAAATTGCTAGTCCGTTATCTAACCTTCTCAAAAAGGATTCTACCTTCGTGTGGAACGAAGTAACACAACAAGCATTCGAGACTCTCCGAGATTTGCTGTGCAAGGAACCAATTTTACAATACCCGGATTTTGAGCGTGAATTTTTGCTCACCACCGACGCCTCTAACCACGCCGTAGGCGGAGTATTAAGTCAGGGTATAATAGGCTAAGACCTTCCTGTTGCTTACGCTTCACGAGTATTAAATGCGGCCGAAAAGAACTATTCGACCATTGAGAAAGAACTACTCGCAATTACATACTGCATTTATCATTTTAGGCCTTATTTATACGGGCACAAGTTTACGCTCATTACCGATCATCAACCGTTGGTGTGGCTGCACCGAGTCAAAGACCCTACATCTCGCCTTATGCGATGGCGTTTAAAACTCGAAGAATACGACTATAAAATCGTGTATAAAGCAGGTATCAATAATAAAAACGCGGATGCATTATCCCGAAACCCTCCTGCAGATATTTCCTTCGCATCCCTTCTTCCCATTTTCAAAAAACAACGCATCGAATCAGGAAAAGCTCATGCCTCCTTGGGGAACGAAAGTGACACTGACTCTGATGATGATCGACCGCGAAAGCAATGTGCTATTTCGAATGATTCTGAAGAGACAGTATCCACCTCATCGACTCCGACGCAACTATCCCTACCAAAACCCCTGATTCCCTCCAATACAGTCGAACCTGCATCTACGAGTAGATATAACCTGCGACCGAAGAGCACGATCGCAATTGCCGAACCACCTGATGGACCACGAGAAGATGATGAGGAAGAAGAGGAAGAGGAGCCTCAAGGAGATCACGACGAGAATACTGCTACGGATGAAGAACGCGTTTCCAATTGGAACGAAGATTCATTGGAAGAATCACAAGTTGTAATTGCACATGGAATACGGTGTCATATGAGAGAAAGCGACATGTTGTTACTCGACCGGGACGATAACATTGTTATTATGGTTTCCGTAAACAAACGTCCGTTTGATGATGGTGCTTTTGAGTTAGAAAATGCTGGAAAAATGCCGCCGCTTAACGATCTCATGCTCGGAAGAGCCAGAGTCTATCCGTCAACATTCCCTGAACGACATATTATTGTATTACCAACGAAGGAAAGACCTAGCGTACGTCTAGATAAGAATATATTAAATGAATGCTTTGCCTCTCTATTGGGTGTAGTTGCGGAATTGGACCTACCTACCGTAAGTTTAAGGAAAACCGAACTTTTAGATTCGCTCCCATGGGGTTCCGTTCGCCTTTCTTTGCAGCTTGCCATGGCAGAACGAGCCATTAATATCACCATATGCCATGGACGGACATTTATTCCTCCTGCAAACTATCGAATACCGATCATCCA